GCAAACCTTAGACCAAAGACCTGAAAAGGGGTTTAGGCACAGATCTTTCTGATTCTCGTCAGTGGGACAACAGATTTGCTTCTCCTCAAGATGCCTCTCATCAATAACATACAGTATCTGAAATTAGCATCCAATGAGATTACCTGCAAATTCTCTAACCTGAGATTATCATCACCAGCGTAACTAAATAGGCCAAGCTGCAGAGGAAATTTGGACGAACCTTCATGTTTGTAATAGATAGGCATTCTCAGTAACTATAACTTGAGGGCCTGTAAAATCAGAATATGATTAACAATCTTTTGTGAACTTCATAGATATGAAATGTGCAGTATGCAAAAGAGCTTTCCCAAGTAATTAATTTATGCATCAGCTTTCTCATGTGTCTTCATATGTCCATGAGCTGAGGTAACGTGTTATCTTCAAGAAGCCTATAGAAAAGAGGCTTTTTTCAGTTTTTTTACTTCATGACATAATAATAAATCCAGTATACTGGATTTAAAAAGACAAATTATGTTCATGTGCAATGGGAACCTAAACAAAATTGAATTTGAAACCTTTCTTTCTCATTAGAAAAACAGAAAATAACTAAATCCCAGCACATCCTTATTTTGTTACTAAAATTATGTAAGAAATGTATGCAATGTACATAAACATACATTGAATCTATAGGGCATTTCAGCTTTCCATTTTTGCACATTAGTAATCTGAATAGGAGGTTTATTAACATGTAGTGATAAATTGAAGAATAGTATTTCATAGATGGCACAAAGAGATGAGAATTTGACTCGGTGTGTTTATTAACACTATTGAACAAGCTCTGTTTAAGAAACTAGAAGAAAACATACCCTATCCAATTTTTCCCAATGAATCTTAATTTCCATTGGGCATCCCCTGATTTATAAATCAATCTTATATTTTTCCTGTGGAAATACCTAAACATTCACATTGAGAATATATATGCTTTGCTTTAAAATGGCCTTTTAATAGTTTCTTTTTTATATTAGGCTTCCCAAAAAACAATTGGACTTAATACAAACTGATGACTTCAGTTTTTGCACATTGCATTATGGTTAACCACCCCATAGCAGGGCCCTCAAAGCAGGCTTCTTGGTTCAGTAACATGCATGCTTCTTGTTAATACCTTCATTGCTAATCATAACTGGGGAGAATAAATCCTGCTACAAGTTGAAAACCATTTTACAATTAACTTATAAATAAGTAGACCGTAATTACATTGTGTTATCTCACTTTGTTTTTACAGCCTCTTACCATGTTTCAAACAAGCAAATTAGACATATAGTGCTGGGTGATATATGGGAGGGAATGTTGCAAAGGACATAATTTAATGGCCTGAGTTTGAAAAGATCATGCAAAGGTTCATCACTTTGGTCATTTCAGAGAGATGAGACCGCTGTTTTGTTGCTTTGCTTTTTGCCACTTCATAGTAAACCATCTTACCTAGATCATTGCACAAGACAGAGACAGGACTTAACACTTATTTTAAGAATTCTTTCAATGGTTCTGAAAACAGTTATTTTTCTCTATGAAGCTAACACTGTTCCAATGTCTAATATTTCATAATTGACCAAGACCAAATCCAGATGGTTCATGTTATTAAGATAATGTTAGCATCTTGCTGGGCACAGGAAGTATTTGCAGCTGCTGTAGGTTATGAGATACTGGGACACAAAGCTGTCTTTAGTCCCCTTTCTGACCTACTGGCTAGAGTAAGCTGGGAGGATATTCCACTCTGAGAGAGAATAATACTGTAAAGAGAGTTGGAGCAAAGGAACTGTTTTTCTTCATATCAACAAGCTTTTTAGCGCAAAGGTCATTCAAGATTAGCCAGATTTTGAATTTTATTTCCATCTAGTGATGTTTAGCCTTCCTTCTCTTCAAAATAAGGTTGATTATTTTATATCTGTGTCGGCGACATGGACAGTGGAATTGAGTGCACCCTCAGCAAGTTTGCCAACAGCACCAAGCTGTGTGGTGCAATCAACATGCTGGAAGGAAGGGATGCCATCCAGAGGGACCTTGACAAGCTGGAGAGGTGGGCCCATGCAAACCTCATGAAGTTCAACAAGGCCAAATGCACGGTCCTGCATATGGGTCGGGGCAATCCTAAGCACAAATACAGGCTAGGCCAAGAATGGATTGAGAGCAGCCCTGAGGAGAAGGACTTGGGGGAGTTGGTTGATGAGAAGCTCAACATGACCCAGCAATGTGTGCTTGCAGCCCAGAAAGCCAACTGTATCAAAAGAAGCGTGACCAGCAGGTTGAGGGAGGTGATTGTCCCCCTCTGCTCCGCTCTTGTGAGACCTCACCTGGAGTACTGTGTTCAGCTCTGGGGCCCCCAACATAAGGACATGGAGCGAGTCCAGAGGAGGGCCACAAAGATGATCAGAGGGCTGGAGCACCTCTCCTATGAAGACAGGCTGAGAGAGTTGGGGTTATTCAGCCTGGAGAAGAGAAGGCTCCGGGGAGACCTTATAGCAGCCTTCCAGTACCTGAAGGGGGCCTACAAGAAAGCTGGAGAGGGACTTTTTACAAGGGCATGTAGTGATAGGACAAGGGGTAATGGCTACAAAC